GTTCACGCTCCCCTCAACCAGAGAAACTGTAAACCCAATACCATGATCAAAATCCGTTCCGTAGTCGATGCAGCCGCAAAGAACCCGCGCCGTCACCTCGGCTTCTTCCTCTACTCCCCCGTTATTTCCGTTCCGGAGCTACACACCCCAGTGCGAACGAAGTTAGGCGTGTCCATCCGACCAAACATAACTCCCAGCTTCAAAGACCCCAACCAGGTCAACTGCACCTACACCATCCGCGTATCCCGCACCTGGCTCCACGGCCCCGAGCGCGAAGCCATCTGCTCCGAACGCTTCCTCTGGGGCTCGGGCATCTACACCGACGACTCCGATCCCGTCGCGGCAGCCATCCACTCTGGCTTCATCAGAGGAGCATGGAACGACGAGGTCGACACCGACCTCCTCGAGAGAGTCAGCCGAGAACAGAATCCCAGCATCGACTTTAAGGATAATGTGCCAGACGCCCCGGTCGAACCGCCCGAGGGGAAAGACCTGCACATCAAGTTGCTGGTGCTGCCGCAGCTGGAGAAATATGGCGAGAGTGCGCGGTATGGGCTTAAATCGAGGACGTGGCCAGAAGAAGAAGAGGATGAGGTGGAGGAGGAGGTGGGAAAGGGTGCGCCGCATGACGGAGTGAGTTTTACGGTGTTGGATTGTACGTGGGTCGATGAGGGGTCTGCGAGGGGTCAGGAACGGAGTGGTGTGGCGAGGAGGAAGAGGTTGCATGCGCTGACGGTGCTGAGACCTCCGGCAGCTGCTGCTTGATATAGTGCGAAAGCAGCAGTAGTAATAGCAGTAGTCGTGATGCTGGCTTCCACTCAACCCGCTCTACTGCCCCTCTGCCTCCTCCTCCTCCTCTCTCAATCAGACAGATACACATGGCACGAGTCGCTTCTGCCCTGACAGCTCTCGATTGGTCGGCTGGGACGAGCTGTAAGTGGGGTTGTAAAGACTTGTGCGCCTCGCCTGCACATGGGTTTTCAGAATCCCCAAGATTCAATACGCCGAACTTTGTCCCCTCCCAACTGTGCACTTAACAGCAGAAACGCTCAGGTGTGATCGTCATGTCGCAATCACGAGACCGGCCCCACGAGCCTATAGGCTTACGTTTCGAGAGGAGGATTAGCCAGCTGGAAAGAGAGCGGGAAGCTGAAGCGGTGGCTCGCAAGGAGGCCAAGGTGAAAGCCTTACAGCAAGATGTGACGCTTGATATCGAAGGGAAGAGAGCCGAGTTACCGTCGCAAAGTTTGACATCGAACAGCTCGAAGGAATTAAGCAGCCGGTATCGGCGACCGAAAGTAGAGGTTGAAGATGAAGATGAACAACTTTCCAATAGGCAATTGAATGGAGAACCTGTACAGACCTCAAGTGTAAGAGCCAGTGCCATGCTCACTCCACCGCTCTACCCACATTCGTCCGATACTGGCAATGCACAAGAACTTGATGCTCGCTATCCGCTCAATACTATCCAAACGTTGAACTCTCGGCTTGAACGAGAGGAGAGAAGGGTCACAGAGCTCGAGCAAGAGTTGGGACGTGCAAAGGCACAGCTAGAGCATTACATTGCAGACCAGAATTCGATCCATCTGCTGCGGATACAAGCCGTGGTAGCTAATGATAAGGATGAGATCGCGAGGCTCAAAGTGGCTGGGGCTGGTGTCTCTGGGTTGGAATGGGCTTGGTGCTCGGGGTTGGTGTTCGGAGGGTTCTTGGATAGGTTGTGCTTGAGGTGAGGGGCGATCATGGCGGGTCGATTGATGGCACGAGACTCATAGACAGAAGAAGGGACAGGCTTATCAATGTTTTCTCTAGCCTTGATTCAGGCAATAGAGGCGCCAAATTGTAAGGGTCAAGAAGAGACTTGGACTACTACGTACTCTTCTTGGTTACCTGTGATGCACGACTCTGTAGTCGTACTGTATGTATGGAATATACTAACTAACGTGAATCAATCTATTCTATTCCAGTTCCAGCTAGTTGACAGGTTTCACTAACAGGTTTCACTATGATGCTGGCTTAGATAAGCCAGCCGTCCTTTTCCAGAGTGAGAATTACACCTTCATACGCAGGTCAAAGGCAAGAAGGAACAAGCACCGATATTAACATTGGAATCGGGAGTGATCCCAATATCATAGAAGGTATTGAAACAGAATATTAGTTGCTGACCGAACACTTCTGCCTCACCTACCTGTTTAGGTAAGGGAAGATGTACTGGTCATCGCCACCACCGTGCTCATCCTGAAGTCCATCCAGAAACTGTTCAACACTTCGCAATATAGACAGGTCAGTGAGCCATGTTCGAGGCCTCCAGTAGTCCTTTTCCGGGTCAGGGAATCTTGAACTGAAAGCTAGGAGGGGCGTTCTCTCCGTTCCAATTCATGCATTCATGGATATAGCCTATTCCACATGTCCAATAATCTTCCAAATATTGCCGCCTCCGTCATTAGCCACAAGAACCAGCCAGTGGCGAATGTGCTTAAATGTCTGCATACATGCTATCACTGCCTTACCTGCATCTGTTGCTTTCTTTCAGGAACTGCCAAGCCGCCATCTCACCTCTTGTGAGCCTGGACTTGAAAGAGAGATTGACGGTCATTGACAGCAGGATTTGCACTTCAAGTATGATATTGTCCTGATCAATTCCATGTGGGTTGCGATGGTCTCCCTATGCGATCGCGAAACCATGGATTTTGCCATCGTTGTCGCCTGGACGGCTCTTTTGGGATGTGGAAATGGCAACGTCAATGGTATTTGCTCTTCTCAAACCATTGATGCGATAATATGGTGTTCCGATAATAAGAGTGCCATCATAGTCGACACGAGGACGCTGTGGATCTGGCCATCGTACTCGGATATGTGTAAAGTGGGCACTTCTTGGTATGACATCTGAGCAAAAGCACGAGGAAGCCATGAGGGAGCGTCGCATATTGAGTGGCCTTTACTATCTCGACCGTTGTCTTCGTTCATGAACAGCGCCATGGCATCTCCCATAGCGACACGAGCATAGGCAAGAATGGCAGGTGATGCCGCGAGTGATGTGGCGTAGTGGACTGGTATAACGTCACGCACGTGTTTGGCGAATACACCTAGGATGCTGAAGATGTAGTTGTTCTCTTCAGAGTACATTGTTCTTGCTGGCGTATCAGAGCCATGGCGTGGTTGGCTGTGAAAGTCTCAACTCCTGCAGAGCATATAGGAAGCCTTTTCTGGTGGACGAGGCGGCAGCGATCCTGGGGCTCAACTTCTGCGTCACGTCTTCCCAAGATATAAGGGGCTCGTATGCCATAAGTCAGGGTATTTTTTGTTCGGAGCGTATATTTCTACCATGATGAACAATGGATTTCGCGAGATGGATTCCTGAAAACCCGGTACTCGAAGTTGATGAAAACCAACCAGCCACCCGGTCACCTCGTCTTCGAGGCCGTAGCGAGCTCCGTCTCTCTCCGTAAGATGCTGTGGAGGAAGTTCTTCATCATAGGTGCAATCGACGAAGTCGTGTCCCAGTGTGTCCGGTCTACTAGTATGCGAGTAGCCACGTCGGAGCATTTCTGACACTACCACGCATCGTGTCGACTCTTGATAGTACTCGGTCATCCGAGGAATCTCCCGGGCAATGTCAGATGCATCTTCTTGGTTGATGCACTTCCTCCTCTGACTCTGCGGCGTACATCTGCACATCTGAGAAATGCATTTGCTTTGCTTTGCTATCCGCACAAAAATACTGGCATAGGGAGAGGGTGTCGGCTTTCTCAGTCGTACCCCGGTATGCCTTACAGGCAGACTGCAAACTTCAATTTGAGAACAGTTGACAGGCGGTGTTGCTAATCTTTGTCTCGCTAAGTCTTTCCACATCTAATCACTACTAACTTGATTTTCATTCGTTGTGAGGCCTTGGCGCCTGCGGGGTTATTCCATCCGAACTTTGAGGATTCCTAATTATACACACGCACACACACATCCCAATTCATGCATTGAGCTGATACTGCTCTACATCCTGTGCAAATTCATTTACTTGAGCCAAAAAAGAGGGAATGCCGGCCTTGCCGCCGAACTTTGATCCATCCCAATTAAAGATAGTACAGCTCAAAATAGATTGGTCAGCCAGCAGTCTGTCACCAATTCGACTTTACCGCTGTCTTCTTCCACTTGCTCCTTCAGATTACCACTAGAATACGAATCTTCACCTTTCAAGAGAGGCAAATAGTGACAGTGGGCTTACTAGCTTGCCGGCCGTCTACTGCGACTCTAACAGAGATGTCTTCGGCCTTCTTCTTGTCGAATGGAGCTCACTAGCTTCCTGATCAGGAAACGCAAAGAGAGCTCCCGAATCGGCTAACTTTCTCTGTATGTTCGTGCTAATATCATGGACAATATTTTCGTGCACTGTTCGGATACCTGATGTTCTACCACCTATCCATGTCCGGAATATTAGAGCTTAGGTCGATCCAGCCAATTGGCAACATGTTGTGGTAAAATCACTCAGTTGCTCTCTACCCTAATCCGGATTGACATGAGTCTCTCACTTGATAAGCATATGCAGGATCACTGTAGCGGAACACTGATTGTCCATATGATTGGAGGCCTTGTGTGGGTTCTTGGAAGTGACGAAACAAAAGCTACGATAGACAGGGAACTGTTCGAATCAGACAGATACACATGGCACGAGTCGCTTCTGCCCTGACAGCTCTCGATTGGTCGGCTGGGACGAGCTGTAAGTGGGGTTGTAAAGACTTGTGCGCCTCGCCTGCACATGGGTTTTCAGAATCCCCAAGATTCAATACGCCGAACTTTGTCCCCTCCCAACTGTGCACTTAACAGCAGAAACGCTCAGGTGTGATCGTCATGTCGCAATCACGAGACCGGCCCCACGAGCCTATAGGCTTACGTTTCGAGAGGAGGATTAGCCAGCTGGAAAGAGAGCGGGAAGCTGAAGCGGTGGCTCGCAAGGAGGCCAAGGTGAAAGCCTTACAGCAAGATGTGACGCTTGATATCGAAGGGAAGAGAGCCGAGTTACCGTCGCAAAGTTTGACATCGAACAGCTCGAAGGAATTAAGCAGCCGGTATCGGCGACCGAAAGTAGAGGTTGAAGATGAAGATGAACAACTTTCCAATAGGCAATTGAATGGAGAACCTGTACAGACCTCAAGTGTAAGAGCCAGTGCCATGCTCACTCCACCGCTCTACCCACATTCGTCCGATACTGGCAATGCACAAGAACTTGATGCTCGCTATCCGCTCAATACTATCCAAACGTTGAACTCTCGGCTTGAACGAGAGGAGAGAAGGGTCACAGAGCTCGAGCAAGAGTTGGGACGTGCAAAGGCACAGCTAGAGCATTACATTGCAGACCAGAATTCGATCCATCTGCTGCGGATACAAGCCGTGGTAGCTAATGATAAGGATGAGATCGCGAGGCTCAAAGAACAGGTGGCAGAGCTAAGCATTCTTGTCGAAAGTTCCCGCAACGATGTTTCAAGACTCCAAGAGGAGCTCAGACAAAAAGATCGTTTGGTAGATGAGCTGAGAGCGGAGGTCAGACAGAAAGCCGAAGAGCTTCACAGGACAAGTCTGCCAGTCAAAGCTCATAAAGATCGTCGGAGATCAGAAAACCAAGTGAGGCCTGGTTGTTCTAGATTGCGGTTAGAGAGGAACAGCGATGGCATCAGGATCAAGAGAAATGAGACTATATTGCCCATAGCTAACAGCGTGACTTTTCCATTGACTTGAGACAACTGCACCAATAACTTATATAATAGCAAGTTCAAGTTGCAAGCACGATCCTGTCAATGTACTATTCCTCAGCATTGAGCACCCATAAGGTCGGAGGAATCGAGTTTTGTGGCTGCTTGTCTCAGGACAACAGTTTGGGAGTATAGACACACTGCACTATTATCTCCTCCTGTTTCTTGGAAGTGAAACTTTAGAGATATCTAGAATTGCACCGTAATTTCGGGTCTCTGAGTAAGAATTCTACTCATAGAATTACTTTGGGCCTATCCGATATGTGATATTACGCCTGTTTCCATCCTGTTTCAAATTGCTCCTCAAAGGTCTCCCTTCACTTCCATTCCTACAAGAGCGACAGCACTCACTGCGTGCTAACCGAGCTTGGTGGAGTCTGTTCAATGCCCACAGGACACTCCCCCCTTAAGTCACATGGCTTTCGCCACTTCATCGAGTAAAGACGCTAAGCTAAGGAGAAAGGACCAGCGGCGATTTGTGTCTTGGGTTCTCATTCTGTGGGATGTGTGTGTTGCTTCGCGTGTGATGCAGGATCATTCTCGCTCCCGTCAAAACTATTGAACAGCGATGACAGACCGTCGCCTGCAATCGAGGTTGCTGATGGACTGCGCAACGAGAGATTGTTCGGATGAGGCGTACTTTGTCCTGCACCCAGAGCATGTATACAAATCCCGTACTTTGCGCTAGGAAACTGCCACGCATTTGACTCATTCGTAGATCTGAGAAGGGGTTGCTGGAAGTGGTTTGGAAATCAGATCCCGGCAAACGCTAATCTAGGAGCCTCAACCGGATATTGTACAGAATGTTTTGAAGGCAAGGTATTTCGAGCCGCACAGAACTTATTGACAGCGAACTTCCCATCCATTGGCCCAAAGAAATCAACTCCACTCTCTGAGTAAAAGAAAACACGGTCCCACTTCTCAGCAAATACAGGCTATCAACCATCCAACCGCTTTAGACATTCTTTCCCATGGTTATCCCCAAGCCTACCCAGCCCCGTGGTCCATGGGCTGAAATTGCAGAAGGAAAGGGGCGGTAGCTTGGCAGATAGCAGACCTTAATTCACCCCCCAGGTAGCCGTATCAGACAGCAGTAGCGCCTTACAGTTACAGGAGGTATCAGTGTTGAGCCAACTCGGCCATACCATTTCTCGGCCATATTCTGCAAGATGACGACGTAGTACGCACTCGAGAAGTCGTAGGAAGTCGACTAGGTGGAAGGTGAGATCGTGAGAGGTTGGATTCGAATGGAGTTTCCTGCAATCCTGCTGTGGGAATCTCTATTCACCGTCGCTGATCATACCAATTCTGAGACCTCCGGACGTCCCGCTGTTAGGCTTGCAGCCTCTTCGATGTAGTAACTTCTCTTTGGAAAGGAGGGTTTATGGAAAAACCATCACTTGCGAAGAGTGCAACATTCGCTATAGGCGTTGGAAGAGGTAGGCAATGAACAGCCATAATGGGAGGAGACAATCTCTTTGTTGGTTTTAGCCATCTCTCCCTAATTTCGAAGGAATCAGTTCAGAAACTTCGACCTCCGGCTTGAAAAGAGTTGCGTTCCACTCTCGGCATCACAGGACGGACTTCGTCAAGGTCGAGCAATGACCACGACCCTTCTTCAAGTCATTAACCTTCACTTCGCTTCTTCTTCTCTCTTCTTCCGCGCAGATCTCCTTCTTCGCCCAGTCTTGCTTGTTGAAATGTCTTGCATATCCGTCCTGTGCGCTACTTCATCTTCAGCAGTTAGCGATGCCATCGTGCTCGCTGATCCAACTCGTACGTCGTTTCCCATCTCCGCTCGGCGTATGCCCAACTCTTCCAACAAAGACTCATACTCCTGAGCACAGCGCAGGGTGCGGGGATGATCCGGTCCTAGGCTCTCTTGAAAGGCTGAAGAAGCTCTCTGATACAACGGCCTCGCATCCTTGTATCTTTGCTGCTCTTTGTACAAAAAAGCAAGGCACCAGACAGTCAGCAGTGTATCAGTATGGTTCTTCCCTAGCACTATCTCCCTCAATTCCAACACCTGTAGATATATCTCCTCTGCCTCCTTATACTTCTGCTGATCTTGTATAACCGTTGCCAGATTATGCATAGTCGTCAGTGTATCAGGATGCTTCTTCCCTAGCACTATCTCCCCTGATTCCAACACCTGTAGATACATCTCCTCTGCCTCCTTATATTTCTGCTGATCTCCTAATACCCTTGCCAGATTATGCATAGTCGTCAGTGTATCAGGATGCTTCTTCCCTAGCACTATCTCCTCTGATTCCAACACCTGTAGATACATCTCCTCTGCCTCTTTACACTTCTGCTGATCTCTTAATACCCTTGCCAGATTATGCATAGTCGTCAGTGTATCAGGATGCTTCTTCCCTAGCACTATCTCCTCTGATTCCAACACCTGTAGATACATCTCCTCTGCCTCGTTATACTTCTGCTGAGCTTGTATAACCATTGCCAGATTATGCATAGTCATCAGTGTCTCAGGATGCTTTTCCCCTAGTATAGTCTCAGAATGCTTTAATATGTGTCTGAACATCTTCTCTGCTTCTTCGTACTTGCCTTGATTCTTTATGGTTCTTGCAAGACCATCCAGAGTCGAAAGTGTGTCAGGATGATCCTTTCCGTTCGTTACCTCACGTAACTCCACTGTCTTTCGATACATTTTCTCTGCTTCTGTGTACTTCCGTTGCCTATGAAGTGCTCTTCCTAGATTGTGCATGCTTGTCAAAGTGTCATAATGGTCCTCGCCAAGTACTGACTTCCTTCGTTTTAAGACCTGTTTATGCATCTTTTCTGCTTCCTTGTATTTGCCCTGAAGTTCCAGGATTAATCCCAACTGATCTTTACAATTCAACCAACAAACAGAACTCTCGCCCTCAATTTCTTCAAATAAGCTGAGTGCCTCCAAAACCTGCGATTCCGCGACATTGTAGTTTCCCTGTCCCCGCTCGTACCACCCAACCAGGTACAACAGATCAGCCCGTGCTCTCTTCAATGAATCTGATCTCAAACTTTGTAGTAATACCGCTTGAGCGTGGGGATAAAGGTTTTGACACGTCTTCATATTTTCATGCTTAGGATCAGGAAATTGATCGCTGAGCCGCTGTAGAGCTTGCCCTTCGTATTCGACCTTGTTTCCCGCTTTTTCCAGCCAGTCGTGAATTGAGAGCTGCACCAACCGGTGCATGGCGAACTTCTCGCTATCAGTCTCTTGCACAATTAGAGCGAACGTCTTGAGTGTGCCGATCGCGGTCGAGAAGTCATAGTCGCTAACTTCAGGATCCCTCAAAAGTGATTCCGGGATGTCACGCCGATCAAATAATGCCATCAGCGACAGCAGTTCAGCCGCGTGAGGCTCTTGATCTTGAATCTGGCTGAACGACAGCTTCCATGTTCGGAAAACTGCGTTTGGAAATCCGCGTTCACGTCGAGCGTCTTGAAGCTCGGCACTGAGGAAATCCTTTAGGTTCTTTTCGTCTTTCTCGAGAGCTGCGAGATACTTTTGCAGTGACATCTGGTTTCGTCGGATGAAGGCGGCAGCTTGGTTGATGGCGAGTGGAATGCATCCCAAAATATCCATCAACTTGGCCGACTCTGAAGAATCAACACCAGTCGCTGGATCCTTTGACCGCCCTTGCAATAAGAGTAGAGCTTCATGTATGGTGAACGGCGGCACTTCAATGCACTGTTCCCCGTTAATCAAATCTTCGCCAAGGTTTTTCCTGCGGGTCGTGATAAGGAGTAACTTGTTAGAGGATAAACAACTGGGTAGGTATTCAATCAGCGGTCTCTCGGATATCGAATCTTCACAAGAAGACGGTTCGCTATCATTGAGGAAGAAAAGCCCGGCGTCGTCTGCGTTATCCAAGATCATCAGCCACTGCGCATCTTGTTCATTGAGCCAATCTAATACTAGCCCACCGACATCAACTGCAGGATCATCATGGCGAGGGATTTCAAGACGCCGCGCTATCTCTTGGTATGCCTGATAGAAGCGACTGTGGTTCGCCGCATATACCCAGAATATGTGGTATTGGGGGTGCTTCTTCCGGAAACGGTGCGCGTACTCGATCGCGATTTGGGACTTCCTGTTGAAATTGGTCAGCATAAGACGACTCCATGAGGGGATTTTTACCCCATCCCTCCCCATCCTGAGAGCGAAGCGCGGTACTGCTCTTGAAGTTTCTCTTCGATGAGAGTGATGATTCCTTCTCGGCCGACGAAATGCTTGTCTCGTTCGAATGGGACCGTGAAGACTGGCTTCGGAGTTGCAGACGGAGCTATTTCGAGATAAAGGAGTCAGAATGAGCACACAGCTTTAGATCACGATTCACAAATGAAGACAGAGTCAAGGTCAAGGTCAACAATCACACCATCAACGATCCTCTATCTCAAGATCCCTTATTGGGGGGTAAAATAAATAAAATCCATCCACGGAAGCTTGGTTAAAAAAGCAGCTGGCATTTAGGTTGTGATATACAAAGATCGTGTGGATATCACGACTGGCATGAAACATCCAGATCGTGCTCTACCATAACACCCAAGCCGCACATCTTCCAGTATGTTTGTATGTATGTCAATAAGAGGCTCACCAGGTTGTGATTCGGTCCTAAGGACGCGACTGGTGCGGACGACTTCTTCCCCAGGCATGGCCTGTAACAGCTCCTTGGCATATGCTGCTGCCGTTGCTGCCGCATAGCCTTGCCATTGATCGTTCTTATGTGTGTCCGAGTAGTCGCAGATTCCCCGGACGATGAGACAGGGGAAGTTGTCCATCAAGCCGGCTGCCTCCATCTCGAAACAGAGGACATCGTGCTCGGCTGCCAGTCTGTCACGGATCGTTGCGTCTTTCATCAGCTTGTCTGCTGAGGCGATAAGGCCATAGTGTATTGCTGGATTGTCTTCATCTTCGCTTCGCGGCTTGCGCGTGATCAAGGTGGTGTTGTCACACACATCAACGCAGGGTTGGTAGCCATCTCTGTGGACATATTTCGTGGCATACAATCGGTCATGCTCTAGACCAGGATGCTTGAATTTCTTCCTGAGCCTGGAATTATGTTGAATCATTGCATTGACTGAATCGACAATTCGATGGCCTTTGCGCGCATGCAGGACTCTGATATCGTGCAAGGCCGTTAGAAGAGCGGTTGGGGGTGCATTCAACAAGCCTTTGTGTTCGAATGCCTTGTCTTGTATCACCTTCCCAAAATCATAATGTATCACACCGCCGGTCTCGCCGGTGGGAGAGCTGACTACGACATCCCCTAATCTAATATCATGTTTCTGAGTCGGTGCACCACCCCCGATCCCTACCATTAGCCTGATACGGATAGATGGAAAGCTGCGGAGCAAGTCTTGAGCCACAGTTGCTGCTGAAGAGACGCCATATTTCCCACTCGGAAGACCCGCGATCACCACGTTGTGGCTGCCAATTCGACCGAAACTGTAGGCGTTGTTGTCATGAGGCTGCTTCAGTAAGCGGGGGTACTCTTCCTCCAACAGCTCACAAGCGGCGATGCGTTCTACTTCAACAGCGCAGATCCATGCCACTGTGTAATCATTGTGTGTCAGAGTAGAAGAAGGCGCCATGCGGAGGCGGGCGGCTCCCAGAGGAGCCGGTGCGGCTTGACTCGTATACTTTGACGAGATGGAGTACGCTGATGGTCCTAAATAAGAGCGGCGGCAACAGCTGCTGCGAGATGATACAGATCTAGAGAATGTGAGATGTGAACTTGTGAAGCAGCACGCTGCAACATAATCGAGTTCACAAATCCAGCCTTGTCAAGCAGGCATTAACCCCAAACTTTCGTCTTGAGTGTCGACAGCCAATGACAGCACAGCCTGCACGCAATCTCACTAGTGGCGGTAAATGCATCTACGCGGTTCTCCTCAATTGGCGCGTTTCTCCTTGGATGGGTGGCCCTGAGCCAGATCTGGCCTGAAGGCTCCAGATCTTTGCTTGCAGGTCTAAGCGCTGGGAGGTCACAGAGGACTTTCCTCAAAATCAAAAACATCCAAAGCCCGTCGCACTACGCGCTTGACGCCTCCAACGGTTCAAGCGGTTACTGTGCATTGCGAAAGTCTTGCGAATCCTTGGTGTTATTCATATCGAGAATTGCTGGCGCCGCTCTGTCAAACAGAAACAGCTTCTGAGTGTTAGAATCCCTGCGTATATGATACGTATCTGTTACGTATTAGCATGGTGGTACAAGGTTCCCCGCATGCAAAACGCACGAAACGCTCTTGTAACTGTTACGCCCTGTTATTTATGGCAGTGAGCATTGCTATACGAATTGAACGCCAAATGCTGTTTCTGAGCTGTTACAGTAATGCGCTTCTGTAGCTATCCCTATGAGCAAATGCTCCTCTTGATAGGAGTAACTCAATCAAGTGAATTGGCACCTCCGTATGCTATTTTGCACCAACTTCTAACACTGAGGACTAAATAAGATTCTTATTCGAGACCCTATGTGCAATTCGAGCATTCACAGCAGGAAACCCTATTGTTTGTTCCACCAGCTTCATGCCACCAGACAAGATTGGGTACCCGGTGAAATCTTTGGTTTACATGTGACTGCTTGTCGATAGATGAGTTTATCAGGCAGATCTGCGGTCCTGCCTGGCTGAAGTCTCGAGTTGTATATAGTGTTACGAATACGAACCTGGGAAGACAAGCAGTGGCCACCTCAGCGCGCGCCTTGCTTCTTGTCCACAACATTACTTTCGCGAGATAGCTTTCGAATCCACGGATCGTCCAGTCCAAAACGTAGTCATACCCGAAGCCTGAGTGCCGGAGAAACCGACAAACAGATTCCGGAGGTAGTGTATTCTGGACGGTTCGGGTCCCTCAGATCACGGAGGTATTTCATGTAGATGATAAACTCACCGGCAGGTCCCTGCTGAGCTCGTTCACACCGGCTTGCTGCTCTTCTCTGATCGCGCTTGTGTTTCACTTGCCGGTTGGGTGCCTGGAGCCCTTACCACGGAGGGGACCCACGCCGGAAGTTCAGCGCCATGTAACCAGCGAATCGAAATCGTAGTGGCACGATGAGGCTGGTTAGTCAAGTACTAGGCACTGCGATCACCAAGCTCACCCACATCCAGATGCTCATTTTTGCTGGTGAAAGCGACAGGTACAAACCAACCAAAGAAGGGCGAAAGGCTCGGAAAGAGTTGGGATGTCGTACGCTGTCGTACAGTACTATGCTGGTCGGTGGTGGCCATTCCCATGTCCGGTCGACAATCGAATTGATAATGGGCCCTCCGTGTCGGGACTACTGTTTCGAGATAAATTTCTAGACATCCACGCAGTTGATAGTGCCCTGTTATATGAATTTCGAGCCCTGGATTGTGGTACGGCGACGAAGTTGAAGACTGACTGCCCCTTGACACCTGCCATATAGATTAGATATTCGTCTGCTCTGTTCAGCGCCATGGGCACCATCTCGCTGCTGCATTGCAGTGCCTTCTCATTTTGCGGCAGGAAGAGGTCGCTGAACTTGTCCACTTACTTGGACCACACCTCCATGGACCAGAAGTATCGCTTCTGCTCGTTATCTTCCCAGACGTCGCGGATAATGTTGGTTGCTGCAGGAGCTGACTCATTGACTCCATCAGCTCAGATCTCTGCAGCAGCGCCGGTTCGCGAGCCTTGACGAACAGCCGTGTCACCCCCTCGCCGACGAGTCCTGCAACGTAGTGGCAGTATAGCTCGTAGTCCTTGATGGTCTTGACACCGTTGCTTGTCATCCGCATTTTCTGCGTAGTCCGCCATGCCATTGTCTATTCGCTTAGTGATGTCCTGATAATGACCTTATACTCGTCCTTGATCTTGTTCTGGTCACGCAGTTAAACTTGCAAGCACCTCCCTGTCTTCTCTTCGGGGCCGTTACCATTGTAAGTCCACGGCATTTTGCGGCAAACATGCTAAAAGTGCGAGATATGGGTCGAGGCAGGCGATCGTGGCAGGAGTGAAGAAGATTCTTTGCATCTTCGCTGTGTATTTTATTAAGTATAAATCTAAAATCCTTTTGAATAACTGTTTTATTTTCAATAACTGGATATGAACTTTTCATAAATTCGAGCAGTATTCTAAGATGTTATGCTAACATACCAAGAAGGAAAGCAGCCTATTCGGTGACACAGCGGACAATAAAAAGAAACATTATTATGATGTTATGCTAATAGTATCGTTGATAAATAGCAAACTAAGAAAGAATGATTACTCAAGGTCAGCGGACACTGAAGGGGAGATCGTCTTTTAAGGCTAGGGAGATTCCCTTTATAAGAGGGGGTGCGGGTTTTCTTAATGGAATGAAGAGATGGAAGTGTCAGAAAGAGAGGTACGGATCACATGACCTCAGGTGCAGCGAGTGTCAAAAGCGGCGGCAAAGACCGCCGAAACAGCAGCCCTGTACCCACCGGCTAGCTTTGATCACGTGCCATGAAAGGGTCCCGCTTATCGATAAGAACCTAAAACCGCGAATTTCCAGCGCCAAGATTTCATGGATTTTGTGGAGAAAGGAAGGTCATTTTCCCACACATGATGATCAGATAATAGCACCGTAGTGGTGGTCAAGCGAGTTCCCCGATTGTCTTCGATGATGGCGGATCAAGTCAACAGACCGCATCGCGCGCCCAAAGAGAAGAAAAAAAGGGCACCTGGAGGTCAGTTTGTACGTGCAGACATGCAGACGGCCGACTGACAGCGACGACAGAGAAGAACGTCAAAGCATTCGCTTACGCAAACCCCGGCCGCCTCAACAAGCAAGCCGTTAGAGCTCAAGATGTAGGACTTGGAAATCCAGCCTCGAGACGCGCGCATTAATTATCTTGCTGCAGGTCAAAGAAAAGCGGTTACATGTCCCCCTCGTCGATCGACTACCCGAAGAGGCGCCTCCCATCGTTGTCGCTGTCGTCGGTCCCCCCGGCGTGGGCAAAACGACGCTCATCAAGTCTCTGATCAAGCGATACACCAAGCAGACGCTCTCGCACCCTACCGGGCCCCTCACGGTGGTGACCTCGAAGCGCAGACGCCTTACCTTCCTCGAATGCCCGTCCGACTCCCTGGCCGCTTCGATAGATGTGGCAAAGATAGCCGATATTGTGCTACTGATGATCGATGGCAACTATGGCTTCGAGATGGAGACGATGGAATTTTTGAATGCGCTTAGCGCCAGTGGCATGCCGGGGAATGTATTTGGGATTCTTACACATCTCGACTTGTTCAAAAAGCAAAGCGCATTGCGCGAGGCAAAGAAGAGGCTCAAACATCGGTTCTGGGCCGAGCTCTACCAAGGCGCAAAGCTGTTCTACTTGAGTGGTGTGATCAATGGGAGATATCCGGACAGGGAAGTACATAACCTTAGCAGATTCTTGAGTGTGATGAAGAATCCGAGGCCGTTGGTTTGGCGCAATTCGCACCCATATTGTCTGGCAGACCGCTTTCTCGACGTAACACCTCCCACACAAATGGAGGAGAACGCAAAATGTGATCGGGAGATCGCGCTGTACGGATATCTACGAGGGACCAACCTCCCAGCAAACAAGGCCAGGGTACACGTTCCTGGGGTTGGAGATCTCACCGTGAAGGAAATAGAAGCATTACCAGATCCGTGCCCAACACCTCATATGGATCAAGCCATCGCTAAAGTAACAGGCAAATCTGGCAGGCGAAGGCTAGGGGAGAAGCAAAAGTTACTGTTTGCGCCAATGTCAGATGTAGGGGGAGTTCTAGTCGACAAAGATGCAGTCTACATCGATGTGAAAACTTCAACCTTTAATCGTGATGCTGAGGATGTCGAAGATCGTGGCCTAGGTGAACAGCTGATGCTAGGGCTCCAAGGCGAACGAAAACTGCTTGGTGAAGCAGGATCTGGTGTCCGTCTATTTCAAGGTGGTGGTGAGCTTGCTTCAGCCGACGACGACAAGATTGAGAGTCATGTTGGACGAAGTGGCCAGAGGCAGGCCAGATTCATCGAAAGGGAAGCTGGAGACGATGATGAGGATGAAGGATTTGAAAGCGGCGGAAGCGGCGGAAGCTCTGATGCTGAAGATGAGGACGACGGGGATAACGTGCTTGAGACACATGGCCAACCAGGATTCCTGACCAAGAATGACCGAGACACTGATGGAAAGAATGGGGACATTGCTTTTGCGGACAGCGATTCGGACATTGGTTCTGTGTCTTCCATCGAGGACCAAGAGCTAGAGGATAACTCTGACGAAGAGAGTGATGGTGAGGACGATGGCGCTCTACGATGGAAGGAAAACATGGCCGAGAATGCCAAAAAGCTACACACCATCAAGATCGCCTATCGAGCGGTTGATCTGTCAAGGATGATGTATGATGAATCACTTTCCCCTGCCGATGTTGTTCGTCAGTGGAGCGGACAAGCGGTGCCGGGTAAGGAAACCGAAACTGGTGGCGAGGACGGGGATGAATTCTTCCGGAAGAGTCGTGGCGAGAATGAAGAAGATCTCGATGATCGTCTCACTCCAAAATACGATTATCAGCAACTGGCACAGAAATGGCAGGATCCGGAAATGATCGATTCAATACGGCACCGCTTCACAAAGGCAGCTCTTGCCAGTGGTGCTAATGATCTGGGTGAGGGTGGTGATGACGATCAAGACGAAGAAGATGATGGGGGTGGATCGGATGAAGGAGACGGCGAGTTCGAAGATCTCGAAGCTGGCGACGCCATCAACGGAAACGCACCACCATCAGACGAGCTCGATCTTGATGCAGAGCGGGCCCGGAATGCGAAACGAAAAGAAGAATTGAAACTTCGCTTCGAGGAAGAGGATCGTGAAGGCTTTGCAAACATCAAGAACAAAACGGGTGGCCCTGAGGAGCAGTTCGGTGAAGACGAGTGGTATGATGCGCAGAAAGCTGCCCTGAAGAAACAGTCGGACATCAATCGTGCAGAGCTTGACACATTGGATCCAGTGGCTCGAGCACGAGCAGAGGGATTCAAAGCGGGCATATATGCCCGAATCGTCCTCGATCAGGTACCATATGAGTTCGCTCGATCTTTCGACTCCCGCAATCCCATCATTATCGGCGGTCTTGCGCCAACCGAAGAGCGATTTGGCTTCGTCCAGGTGCGAATCAAGCGTCACCGATGGCACAAGAAGATCCTGAAAACGAACGACCCACTAATCTTCTCGCTGGGATGGCGTCGATTCCAGACTCTGCCCATCTACAGCATATCCGACTCCCGCACCCGCAACCGGATGCTCAAATACACGCCCGAACACATGCACTGCTTCGGCACCTTCTACGGGCCCCTCGTGGCGCCCAACACGGGTTTCTGCTGCGTGCAGTCGTTCAGCAACTCGAACCCGGGCTTCCGCATCGCGGCCACGGGGGTGGTGCTCAACGTCGACGAGGCCAGCGAGATCGTCAAGAAGCTCAAGCTGACCGGCCACCCGTACAAGATCTTCCGCAACACCGCCTTCATCCGCGACATGTTCAGCTCGGCCATCGAGATCGCCAAGTTCGAGGGGGCATCCATCCGCACCGTGTCTGGTATAAGGGGGCAGATCAAACGCGCCCTCAGCAAACCTGAGGGCCACTTCCGCGCCACCTTCGAAGACAAGATCTTGATGTCGGATATCGTCTTCCTCAGGGCCTGGTACCCGGTCAAACCGCACCGCTTCTACAACCCGGTCACTAATCTCCTCGACACGCCCCCTCCTCCCCCAACCGCAACC